ATGATCATTCTGGATAAGGAAGGCGAAAGAGAGACGGAGAGGAAGAGCGCGATAGAGAGGGATAGAGGGAGGGAACACAGAGGCAAGAGGCAGTTGAGGGAAATGTCTAACCGGCACGTCTAACTTTACGACACAGCAGCGATTGCACTCACCATTACGTAGTGTCGCTGAATCTCGATCTTCTCGGAAGCCAGTTTCTCGCACTCCAACTTCAACCTGCGGAAAGAAAGAGAGATGAAAAACGCGTCGTGAAACGCATGCGAAAACAGTTGAGACGGACACGCTCGAGCGAACTGGTGAATTGAGAAAGAAAGAAAGAGGGAGAGAGAGAGAGAAGCGGGAGAATGCGAACCGCGAAAACCGCGTTCGTCGCGAATAGAATATGCTCCGTACGTGGCGAGCGAAAAGAAAAAAAAAAGAGGGAGAAAAAGAAAGAAGCCTCCGTCGGACAACGAGAAAAGTTTCGATCCGCGAGAGCTGCTGAAAAATGCAAGGCCCGTCTTCCCGTGTTCCCGTGTAACTCGGAGCTCGAAGAGTTCGTATATTCGCGAGCTGCCATTACGTATCCCGTCGTGCAACTACATTGTAGATAGCGTGCACTTCCGAGCGCAGCTGCGCTTGTTCCCAGACCTTTTTTTTTGCCCCGCGTAGTACGAGCTCGCTATATCCTTACGCGCGCTTCCGCGTAGGGCAAAAATAGACGAAGAGAAAAAAAAGAAGGACGAAGAGTTCGTCGCGCGCGAAACAGGAAAGCGCTCGCGGCTTCTTCTCCGGCGACGCCAATATCGCGATATCGTCGCAATAAAAGAAAGGGGGAGAAAAAGAAGGGAGAAAAAAAATCCATCGTCGATACTCACGTGTGATACTGCGTCTGCAGGTAGTTGAACTCATCCTTGATCCTGTCGCAGTATTCGGCGACCGTGATCTTCATCGGCTGACCGGGCTGCGGCGGGCCCTGCAAAGAAGAGAGTTGCGGCGGTTAGTCAATTTAATCAGTATCAGATATATCGATCGCGTCCCAGAAACCCGCCGGTCGGCGATCGATTCGCGCGCGGCGGCCAGCTCTCGAGATCCACTCCCGTCCCGAATAATTAACTCCGTACAGCTGTTCGACCGCGAAAGGGCAGGGGTGCCGCCGTGCGAGCGAAAGTGATAGGAGGTCCGTAGTAGATTGGAGCACACACAGGAGGGGTGCGGAGGGACGAGGCTTGGGGTGGCGGACGGTGGATGTACGTACGCACACACGGGCGCGTACGCGATTACACGAAGCGGACCTGTGTACGGGTCGGCAATAGTCGGGTACGAGATCTCGGCCCGAGAGAGTTGCGCCGCTTGCAACGGGGGCGGTTCTCTCTCGCGATGCGCTCTCTCTCTCTCTCTCTCTCTCTCTCTCTCTCTCTCTCTCTGACGGCGCGCGGAGAGAGAGCAAGTGTTAATTACATGTTTGCGGTGTCCGCGAGGATTACACGCTACAACCGAAACTATGAGCCTGCGCGGTGAATCGCGTATGAATACACGTTCACGCGCGTTTACATATACGCACGCATATAAATATATATATATATATATATAGTAGTATATCGTTAACGATATCCTCCGCATACATGCACGCGAGCGGATTGCTTCCTTCGGCGCTGGATCCGTAAATTGCATCACGGCGTGCAGCGACACGATATTTGTTGACAACACCACGTAGGATTAACATCGTACGACCCTCATAAGCGAAGGTAATGACCACACGTTGAACTCAGCAATAAACACTTGACCCAATTCAGAGACGACAGGCGCTGTGTTGCGAAGCGTCCGGACAGTGAAGGGGTCAAAGTCGTCCTCATTGAGATATATATGTCACGCTGGAATTTCAGTCTCCGCGGACCGCTAGTGCGGTGGACGATACGACCAGTCGCGCTAAATTCTTGAAACCGAGGGTGGAACGCGCGAGACAATGGCGGCGAGCGTGAGAAGAAAGGGGAATAGCTGGATGAGCGGAGAGGAAACGGATAGTCGGATGGAGGTCGCGGCGGAGAGGAAGAGAGGAATTGCGGGAGGAGTAGAGGAGGTGCGGCGAGGGAGCGGGCGGCCAAAGGTGGCCACGACGAGGGAAGTTGCGGTTTTCGCGGTCGCCGTGGTTGCGGCTTAGGCAAATTGAGATAGTTCGCAAACCACCGACCAGCTGACCCGACCGTCACGCCAGGATGCGCCAGGATGGCACATGCCGCACGTCGTGCAGTCGCGCCGCTCGCTGAATAGTATCTCTCTCTCTCTCTCTCTCTCCCCTTTCCTTCTCGCTGAGGGTTCCAGCCGAGGATCTCGACAATCTCTCGAACAAAGCTCGCGCGCGCGTGCGCGCGGATATTATCCCCGCTCGATCATTCATAAATCTTCACCACGATATCGCGGCGATGAATTAAACCGTTACCGCGGCGGAGTGCCGATACCGATGGACGATGATATCGCGGTGCGATCGAGCACCACTGCCGGCCGGGCAAACAGCACTGTATCGTATTTGTGTGCTTAGCCCTGGCAAATGTTAGCCAGCATATCGCTTATGGTGCTTGTTGAGCGAGGGTGATGGTCGATAGTTTCCGCAGCGGCGGCGGGAAGGGTAAAGAGGCTCCGTTCGTATAAGCGGGTGGAAGTACTCGGCGTCGCGTTCGCGTCAGGTTAGCGCCGATCCGACGACGTGAACGCGGACGGACGAGCGAGCGAGCGAGCGAGCGGGCACGAACGCATACGTCGTATGTTTGTCCATCCGTCCATATAGGGCTGTTTGTCCTTGCTCTCGCTGTTTGAAGAACGTCGGGATCCCGGTCTGTGCAAACTCCTCATTATTGTGAACAGTGTACACGGGGTATAAAACGCGTGCGCGCTCGTTTGGCCCGCCGAAGTTACACGTGTCAAGTCGCGCGTCATATGAGCGCACACACGATCGTGAGTTGTTTTTTTTTCACGAACGACGTGAGTGTTGGCGCGATAAAAACGATCCGACTAGTAAAAAGTCGCTAATATTTAGGCGGCACCTTCGCGCTTCAGTTTCTCGCGACGTTTCTCAAACTCGAGTATTAATTTAATTAGTAAAATATGATTATATTAACGAGATATACGTTAATCGGTGAGTTTATATATTATTATCGCGTATTAAATCGCGTATGTTGAGTCTAAATGCGTCTGCGAGATAATGCGGTGATTTATAATGATTGAATTAACGACTGTAATCAACATAAGTCCGATTGCATCACACGTACAGCGCGTGTGTCTCTTATTTGCCATGTCGTCGTCAGTCGCCTAATTATACTTACGAATCGTTAAACAGTTTAGTGTCAATATTTTACAATGTTAAAACATTCCAGAAAATTCTCCAATGAGAATACGAACAGTTAGGCAAGTGTTTAATACCGCTTGTCGGATTCCAGATCTCTTAAGTTGAAAGATATCATCAATCAAATCACCAGTCGAATTATGATCTCGACCGTGCAGGCGTTTTTTCCAGATTGATTAGCGACGATTAATTAAATAGCTAAATACACTTTCGCGAGATCACGACAACGCCACGTTGCTTCGACGATAGAGATCTTCGTGCTCAACTAACTCCTCCGCGCTCTTACTAATTAATCCACAAGCCCAACGATGGGAAGAACCGTTTTACGGTCTCAATGAATAATCCTAGCAATTTTTCGCGGGCGTAATTGGCGCAACTTTATTTTTCATACCTTATATTCTCATAATGCGGTGTCATTCATTATAAAGGAAATTTAATTGCCGGAATAAACACGAGATAACGCGCTGATTTCGAGCTAAACGATGTTTCTCGTCGATGGCGAAAAAGTAAATTCCAAAACTGTACTATTATTCGATGATTACTACTATTTATACTTTTAGCTTACATTAGCAAAATTTATAATCCATTGCCATGTAGATAGAAACAATTTTAATAATTTGAAACTAATATATCTTATCACATTAATTTTTAATTATACTCATTTATACTCATTTATGCTCATTTATGCTCAATTTATACTCAATTAATTAACAATGTTGCGAGGTGTATTTTTTGTCGAAAAGTATAATAATTAGTGTGACAAAAATCAATAAGCTACCTATCGAAATACAAGACTTGGATAACCCTGGAGAGTCGATCCAGCCAATAGATCTGATTTCTAAGGGTCAGCCAAAAGGGACATGAGATAGTCGATTTAAAGGACTCAATGTTACAACAAGAGAACTCCATGTATATATGTGAGTCACTGTATACGAGAGAGAGAAAGAGAGAGAGAGAGAGTGAGGAAGGGGGCGGGGGGAGCGGGGCAAGTGTATCCGTTGAAACTTTCCGCCTGGGGTTTCGTAATGATCGACGGGCCGGTTTGCCCGGAAATAATATTTGTACAGCTTGTACGTAAACAGCCCTGGCGGCCCTGCAGAGTGCCAATAACCACCGCCTGTGTCAACTCGGTCAAGCACCGGAGCGTCAACGACGAATGACGACGATGGCGGCGGCGCGACGACGACGACGACGACGACGACGACGACGAATCGACCGAAAGCGACGAATTGTTCGATCGTTTTGACTACGACGGATGAGTAGGCCGACTTACGTTATTCGTTACCAGCTATTTTCGTCCCTCCTCAATTCGCGTCACGTGGCGCGAATTAATCCAGAGCATCGCACAGTGTGGCGCACGATTCCCCCGACAATTAGTAAATTTGTTAATGTCACGTAAATACGCGTGTGTCAATCTTCGCGCGGATTACACATGGCGATATTCTGCGGAAATCGAAAGCGTTTTGCCTCCATCGAAATTTAATTGAGCGCCTACGTTGCGCGCCGCTCTGTATTTCCGTGTGTGCGAAAATTGATATTTACGCTACGCGTAATAATAGATTGCACCTACACGGCACGGTACGTCGTCGAAAGTATGACGCATGTTGCATTTTGTTCGCGGTAATTTCGCCGTTCTCGTCGTCTGAGATTTTCGTGTGAAGAATGTCGTGTGTGTTAATGAGAAAGAGAGATGGAGGGAAAGGAAGAGAGAAGGAAGACGAGGAGGTGGCCAACTGTTTGCACGTGACGAGATTTATAATGCTCGCGCCAATTGCACGTAACACGCTTCGCTCATTCCGCGGTGTAATTCATCGCGGTGTAATTACCAATGCATATTGCGGTTCTGCGGAAGCGCGCGCGAGCGAGCGAGCCCGCGGCCCGCAAATTTCGTGATGCGTGCGCGATATCGTTCCGCCGTTTCTCCTCCTCGTTGCACCTCATCTCTTTCTCTCTATCTCTCTCTCCCTCTCGTCTCGATTTCAATTTTGTCCCCGTCTCTTCCTTCTCGTCGCGCCGGGAAATAATTACAACGGGGAGAGAGCTCGGTTGTCGTTGGCGGAACACTAATGAAATTATCATTGCGCTTGTAAAAACACGAATAAAAATTTTAAATAAATTAAAAATATAAATAGATACGTTATTTTCATATATTTATATAGGTATGTCCAAAAAAATGTACAAAAGGATATTTTCAATTAAATTGGTAGATCGTCAAAGTAATCCCATCTGCTTCAGTTTCGTTCAAAAAGCAAAGCTTACTCCGGCCTCGTCGCTAACGTGATACTTTCGAGACACACAGGAAGATAAAGTTAATACTTTAAGAGAAATTTCGGATGGGAGAAAATCTATTGCAGATTCTCAATATACCGAACACGCGCTTTGGAAGTCTTCCAGAGCGGTTCGCTGCAGTTCGCTGCGCGAAGCGGTCGGCGAAGCCAAACGAGACCGAATTCATTTTTGAGCGACGCGCTTTTTTTTCTCGGTCTGTGTCTATTTTTCCACTTTTCCGTTTGGCTTTTTTTTGCCCCGCTTTTCCGGACCAGGGGCTAGGCGCGGGTAATCATCGGAGCCGCCGTGTGCGCGATGGCAGCTACAGATATAACGTAATTGTGGATACCGGACGGGCGTAGCTGCGAACGTAAATCCCCTTTGCCCCCGAAAGCGCGATATATAGATTTATTTTCGTCGTTCGCGCACGAGCTTTTCCTTCGGCTCGCCGGGTGTTTACAGTCGAATGAAAATTTGCTCGTCGGCCAAATATTTTTCCGTCGTCACTCGGCTCGATCCGCGCGCGTTTCGCCCACCGCCTCCGCCTCCTCCTGTTCCTCCTTCTCCTCCTCCTTTTACGCACTCCTCCGCCCCGTACAACGTGGGTCAATTTCATCCACCACGTATTTATACGTGGATGCGCCCAGATATTTAGCGCAGGAACCTGTGCGAGCGTGCGTGCCCGCCTGCCCGGCCTGTCTGCACGCGTGCGTGCGTGACGGCGAGGGTGCAAACTATCAAGCATTAGGCGGCGGAATCGGGAGAAAAATAAATAATTGCCGGAAAGAATTTATTGGTCTAAGGCTCCACGCGCCGGTCTGGAAAATGTTAGTTTGCCACCGCTACTTTTTAATTATCTCATTACTCTGCGGGAGTGACGCTGACAGCAGAAAAAAATAATACGTGTGTATATGTGTGTGTGTGTGTGTGTGTGTGTATGTATGATAATAACTATGTGGCGAATAGATATCGGCCGATTAGCTCGAAATAACGCAGTTCATAGACACGTTGAAGTTGCGTAAGAATCGTTATTTTCTTCACGATCAATCATTACAGATAGCAGATAAATGGTGATTAATTTATTATGCGTTCAGGGATAAACTGGCGACAGATATAGAAAAAAATAAATCAACAGAAATATATTGGAATATTGTAGAGGCAAAGCTAGCAAGGAAAGTGAAGGAAACCAGCAGGTATAACATACGGGTCGAAGAGAAAAAAGGAAAAAACTGGTAGCAAATATGGTAAATACCGACAACTTTCCTGCTGTATAATCAGAAGATTTAGTCTAACACGACCAAATCATAACAATAACATTGAACATAAAATAGCCAAGAAAATCTATACGATTTTAACAAGCTGCTTTACAGACAAATCGCCAGAAATGGGAAAAATATTTCGTTGACAATGGGAACAATGAGCAGGTCAAAATTTTTACTTTTTCCGCTTCGGAGGACCGAAATCTTTGGGGACCAAAAAATTCTAATTCTAATTCTAATTCTCGAGAATTGATTGTAGATAATAATTTATTCTTATACGTTTATCGCGTATTATTTTCTTTTTTTGCTCGTTTTCTACGAGAAATAGCTTATCTTTTTTTATCGAAAATTATAAAAAATTTTTCAATTACTGTTAGTATATAAATATTTTTTTAAGTGCACTGCAAATTTTTAAAATTAAAATTCTATTAAAATAAAGAGATTATAAAATAAAAAATATTACTATATTATTTCTTTGCTTCTCTGAAATTTTGTTTAAAAAAGGCCTTTTAGTTTGAATTATTTATAACTTAAAGAATAATAAATGTCTCAACATTCTTCTACAAATGTAAAATCATCTGCAAATTAACCAAAAAGATCTGCAGGCTGAAGAAGGTGCACTTACTACTAGCGGAAGATATTCTATATGCGAGTAGCAATAATTTGCAACAAATTATAAATGATTTGCATACGCAATTACTGTAGGAATCGAAATGACGAAAGAAAAGTTGGAGTTGCACAAAGTAGTATGTTCATTAAATATGCAAGGAAAAAACTTGTCATTCTTAACGCCTCTTTTAAACTTTTCGAGCGGCTTCTTTCTCAAGAGCGACCTGTTTCACATTTTCCTCGATATTATTCGTAAATAAAGAATGAAAAAATGAAGTCTATATACCGGATGTCGTGACGCTACGGCCACGGCCGCCGCTGCCGCCGCCGCCGCGTTGATACTGCTGGTAGGGTACATGCTATATCCAAAGTTCTACGTCACTACCGCGCCTCGTGGAAAGCGGTATTCTCACTGTCACTCATCACAGCCGTGGTAAATAGCGGCGGTGTTAACACACTCACACGTTCGCACCGGCGTTCACAACGGAAAATCGTACGAACGCACTGTGCAACATCACACGTAGAACATTCGCGTAGCTACACAGAAATGACAAATACACAAAACAAGTATATGTCACCAATTATGACAACAACGATTACGAAATACGAAACAACCCACACTCGACGACGCGCGTGTGTCAACTGACGAACTGCCGTTGCCGCCGCCACTGCCAATCGTAGAGGAACGTCCGTCCCGCCACCTTCCGGACGCTAGGTGTCGTCCTTGTGCAGCCTCCACGTGCTTCCCATCAGGAGCTTTTCCATGGAAAGAAATAGTTTATTAATCTTCGAGAAACCTCACTTATACAATAACGTTGGAACGAATGCAAAAAGCCTTTTCGACTGGCACGTAATTGAAAAGAAATATGTCCCCTACAGTAAATCAATTTAAGAAGCGAGACAAAACGAAATACAAAGAGAAAAATGTGTTGTTCCTGCAGAAAAAGGAAGAATTATCACGCATTCCTAAGCTATCCGTTCAGTGACCAGTGGTCAACAAGTAATTCGATAGGTATAGATATTAAACTATTTTTTTCAAGATGGGTGTAAACAGTTAAGTAAAATTGAGGTGACAGGTAAAATAAAAGATAAGCTACAGAATTTCAAGAGGGACGGTATGTCTTGGAATGTATTCTTCTCTAAAGAAAGATTTGAAAAGTCTACCATTGATTTAGGAAAATTATGTAAGAATCACACAAATAAAACAAGTTGCGTCTAAAAAATGAGTATAAAGAGTCATACAGATATGACATCGATTTATTTTTATTAACATCAACGGTGTGAGGTCTTTATTTAATACGCGCATTATAATCGCCGTACATATTTCAGAAACTGTTAACCTTCACGATAGGGTCGCGTTGTTAAAAAAGAGAGGTCGTTTTATAAAAAATACCAGTTACTATCTCGCGACTTATCAACGAACTCCACTCAACCGGACGTATTATCTAGAATTGTAAGAAAGGTTTCAAAGATTACGCGTAACTGAGCAACTAAGTGACAGATAATGCTCGTATGTCGCTGACTCTCTGAAGGGTCCAGATTCACCCTCGCGCAAGCTTGTCAATTTTTATCATTAGTGCTATCTCGTGAAGGCGCATTGCGCAACACACGCAGTTTATAAAATGTAATATTTTACACAACTGGATCGATTTAGCGCGATGCTCGACACATACTCAAAGTGTGCCTGTTAACACGTTATTTTTGCAGGGATAAGAACGTCATACTTATCGATCTTATCAGTCTCTTTTATCACTCACTCTATTCATTTTCGAACTGTCATACTAATTTTCTAGTATCGAGTAGAGGTTTTTCCACAATCTTTCTCGAGTATCAATACCGGCTTCCGATATTTTCGTGAAAATGTTCACCGTATCATTCGTTCGTGATTATAAAAGGAAAAAATTGCCACGACAGTGGAAGAATCGATGCTTCTAAACCGCTTCTAAAACCGCTCGCTAATCAAACGTACCTCCGAAGCGAGTCCAAATAAAATTGACGTATTACAATATGCAATAATAATAAAAATGTTGGAACGTATTTTTTTAAGGTGACACGAGATCACTCGTAATACGAAACCGCGAAACATTTAGTTTATGCGTTAAGCTCGTTTAGTTTATGCGCAAATTCGGCTCTGGCGATGATGCGCTTGTCCGCATGGCTGACGCACGATTCGCTTCGAAAAATATTTCCAGCCGAAAAACTTTGTCACTCGTCGACGATGCTCGAACCGGATACACGCAGGCGTGCATTCGTGTTTGCGCGACGAGTTGGCTCATCGAAAAACGTGTTAATTGGCATTATTCTTGCCGAGCGGTTGTAACGGCTGCCAATTGGCTCGGCCGTAAATCGGCGCGCCAATATATAGTGCTAGAGCGTCGCGACGCATAGAAAAGCGACAGCGAGCATTCTTAATATTTCCGATCTATCGTCTTCGATCTATCGCTTTTGTGTTTCCAGAATAATTCTTTACTTAGAACACTGTTTGAAGACGATCGATCGTTTATCAATCAATAATTATTTGTTTCATATCGTATTTCTTTGTTGAAATAACAAACAAGTACAATAAAATAGTCCACTTCTAAATACACACGCATATATTTAAAATGCTCGTCAGCGTACTTTCTTACGAATAGCGGATTTTTCGAAAAATTCTAAGTCGATTTTCCCTTAGCGGAAATATCGCCAATTCGGATTGAATATTCGCGTTTGCGAATATCGAGTGCCGAGATATTTGCGGTTCGAGCGAAACAAATAAGAGAACCCGCTCGCGACCCGGATGGAATATTATGAAAATGATGGAGGCGCGCACGCGGAAAACCGGAGAAGCGCAAGGAAGAAATCGCGTTACGTGCCACGTAGGCGCGATGTGGAAAAAGTTTTTGAGCTCTTTTCTCTCTCAAGCTTCATCACCGACTCGACGCTCGCTGACGACGACAGGCAGCAACGACTGTGACTCCGACTGCAAAAAAGCTCTCGGGAAAGCTCCTCGGCGCGCGTGATTACACGCGCGTACACCATTGACGTTCGCGCGCTCGTGTGTGTGTGTGTGAGTGTGTGTGTGTAGGTTTGAGCGGCTGAAAAAAAAGGTTCGTAAGCATTTTTTCGCGTCGCACGCTGGTGAAGAGGAGACGGAAAGACGACTCGTTATTAGCACCCGGGACGCCGTTATGCACACGCAAAAAAGTACGTGACTTATTTCGCACTCCCCTTTCCGTTAATATTCGCCGCGGACGAAGTATCGGCGCGGCGAGAAAAAGGTACCAAAGGGTACGTGCGAGAGAGAGACACACACCGGCCGGTTACTTCCATCCGTCAAATCCATCCGAGCGACGGGCTGCGGAAAGAGCCCCCGGTGTAGAGATCGAACCGAAGCCGGGGAACGAGAGCAAGACGATAAGGTGGTCGTCGTCGTCATCGTCGTCGTCGTCGTCGTCGTCGTCGTTGTCGTCGTTGTGGAGGAATGGCGGATGGCAGAGAGGAGGAGTAGCTCGGTGGTACGCGGCGCGAAATGCTCTTCGCTGATTTCCTTCTCTAAATATGGCCGCCTTCGTGTACGCTTTCCTTCTCCCTCGTTCTCTCTCTCTTCGTGTACCGGCACGATGCCGCGCGCCGTAACCGGCCCTGCTTGCCCGAGGTTCTACTTGATTGCCAAGGCGTCTTAACCTCGGCCTCGTAGCAGCGGCAGCCAGCAGTGGTGACGGCACAAGCAGCAGCAGCAGTCCACGTGGACTTGCGGACTCCGAGACTTCGCGAGATGCGCCTATAAGAATCGCGTTCTGCCAGAGGCGGCCAATCTACGTGCATAAAAATGCCCAGCGACGTTTCGAACCGTATAAAGAGGCGTTGTCATGCGGCGAAAAAGGCCAATCCGGATGCTAGAACGGCGGCCGGCGACCAATCGCGTGCGCTCTTTCGCCGCTGCACGACAGTCGGTCGTCTAGTCCACGTGGACTCGTATACTCTACCTGCCTTTATTATGCCTTTCTACGCGCTCTTCCCCGCGACGACCGCGGCGTGTACGCGCGTGTACGTACGTGTGGACGTGGTATACGCGGTGCATACGTGGTGTACGCGCGGTATACGCGGTCGAGGATATACCTCGGCGGTGAGACAGGGGGTGAGAAGGGGGAAGGAGGAGGCTCCTATTCCCGTTGGTCTCTTCTGTTCGGAGCGCGGAAAGGAAGCTGCGACTGGAACATCATCGTCTTCGTCGCTGTGCAGCGAACACGAAAAAACATTCTCGAAGAAGCGAGAAGACGACGAACGTCACCGCCGCCGTCGTTGCCGTCGTGTTTCTCCTCCGCGACCAATTAATACCGACGCCTTCCTTTCCAGATCGTTTCTTGAAATAGTACGATGTCATACTCCGGTAGCCGACGACGAGTCGGGGGAACGTTCGGTCAAGCATGTAACGATTGCCTTCTTTTCCCTCCACTTTGGTCAGGAAAGAGATATTACATCGCCTTGCGTTGTATTTGTAATTCGAAAAAGAGACGATCGGAGCCGGTCCGCATTGAACGTCGAAAAATCGCTTTACGTTTGTGCGGGTAACCCTTTGCGTCGAATCGTTGTATCGCTCGATCGCCGATAATTAAAGGTTGCTCTTACCTTATTCTATCTACCTACCATATGTATGACCGATGATACCATTCCAAGTCTGATCTCATCGATCTAACAATAAGATTCTCCAAGTTCGAGTGACCGTGATAACGAGCCGTTTCTTGCGGAAATTAAATTAGCCAATGCTTGTTTTCATCGCTGCTTGTAAATACTCGGTTATCAATGAGAAACTTGAAATCCGGTTTTCACCGGATTGCGCGCGCGCGCGCGCGAATAGTATTAACGTAAAACGAATGAAATTTATCCTTGTTGGTGGAAGATATTCGAAATCGAATTTATGAGCGGCTCGCATGTGCCAACTGAAATTCGAGTAATACCGCTCCGCAATGATTCGAGGACAAAACAAGCTAAAAATTGTGA